GCACGTCGGACTGGCAGTTGTACACGAAAGTCTATGGCCATGTTCAGAATTCCGTTAAGTCCGCGGGCTATGTACATGATGAGATTTTCTACAATTCCATCATCAAGCCTGCAGTCGAGAAGCTGCGCGGAAACGGACACCACGGTTCTGGGTAGTTCGACGAACGCGCGTCAACTCGCATACCCCCACGGTATCTGGAATAATAAACAAAAAAAAACTCGCTCGACGTCCGCGTCGCGCGCGCTCGCGAGTACGTGTACCTACTCTAAGTAGTCTATCATCCTATCGTCGGTCGCGACGCGGCCGGCGCGCCTCGCGAGAATCGCCACGTCTCGCACGCGCGGCAGTTGGACGCGTCCGCGGGGTTATCGAGCGTGCACGCGCGGCACCGCCACGCCGCCGCGGCCGCGGCGCGTCCGCGTCCGCGGCGGCGCCCGTCGTCGTCGTCGTCGTCGTCGTCGTCGATGACGATGACGTCGTCGCCCGTCGCCGCGGCGCCGCGGTCGCGTTTCTTCTCCGTCTTCACCCCCTCGCCCTTCGCGCCCTCCGCCATCTCCTCGCACGTCCTCGCGTGCGCGTCCGCCGCCCGCGCGTCGAGCGCGTCGAGCGCCGCGGCGCAGCACGGGCACGTCCTCGCGACGCCGCGACCGTTCTCCACTCCGTTCGCACTGGTCCCCGTGCGACCGCGTCGGCGCGGTGAACGCCGATCCTTAAGGACTTTCCTCGCCCGCGGCGGCGGCGGCGGCGGCGGCGCGTCTCCACACACGACGTCGTCGTCGTCGTCGTCCGAGAGGACGACGACGTCGTCGAGCAACCCCCACCGCTGCGCGAAATCCTCCCCGCGCGCGCGTCGCTCCGCGGCGGCGGCGGCGGCGGCGGCGGCGGCGGCCGGTTTTCGTATCTCCTCCGTCGTCTCCCCGCCTCCGAGCCTTCGCCCACCCGGCGGTCCCATCACCGCGCTCGCCCTCGCGCGTCTCTCCGCCGCGTCCTTCGCCGCGTCCTTCGCGGACCGCGTCTCGAGCCCGCCCCACCCGCCGCGGTGCCCGAGCTTCGCGCCGGGCGCGTCGAATCCGACGCCCGTGCCGCCGACGCCTCTCGCCGTGAGATCTTCGCACTCGGCGGTTATCTCGTCCAGGAGCTGAGGTCGAGGGGTGGACGCGCGTCAGCGATGCGACGCGCGGCAGCGTTTCCACGCGTCGTCGAAAACAAAACGAAACGAAACGAATCAAAACGCGCGCGAGGTGGTTGAGGTCGACGTCGCGTTTGCGAAGAAGAAGTCAGGAAGTCGTCGGCGTCGGCGTCGGCGCGCACCTTGAAGAACGCCCTGTTGTGCGGCCCGATGTCGTTGTGCACGAGCTCGTGGAGCATCACGAGAACGACGTGCCCGAGGTCGTACCACCCCGTATCGCTCGCGGGGTTCCGGAGCTTTATCCGCACGCGCTCGCCGCGGTTGTAGTTGTCCCCGACGCGGTCGCGCTGCTCGGGTTTCATCTCCAGGAGCGTCGCGACGCGCCATCGACGCGCGCGCATGATGGGTTGGACGTGCCACGCGCACCGCTCGAGGAGACGGCGCGCGGTCGCGTCGTCCGCGCGCCCGAGGGTCGCGATCTCGTGCACGCGGTGCGTCTCCGAGGAGGAGGAGGAGGAGGACGCGGGCGTCCTCGCGGGCGTCCTCGCGGGGCGTCGGGGAGGGGGCATCCCGCGCGAGGCCGCGGCGCCGCGCGATCTGAGGACGAAGTTGAAACGCGGTCGTCGCGTCTGTCGCTCGACGTTATTCGCCTCGTTATTAGACCCATATGTCGTTCGCGAGCGAGCGACGCGCGGGTTATAACCGCGCGTTCGATCGAAGCGCTCACCGCGAGAACGGCACGGGTCGACCGCAGCGCACGAGAGACGTCGACCGAGAATTTCACCGGAAGGTCGCGGGCTCACCGCGCCTGTGAACCCTAAACCCTGGTGCGACCCACCGCCCGCGCGTCGCCGATCGAGGCGGCGCGATCAAGCGGGCTCAAACCGTCGCGGGTGGTCTTTCGAAGAGCGCTTCCCACCCGCGCAGAAGAAACCAAAAAAAAACAGAAGCGCTCGATGAATGAGGTTCGACCGAAGGCTCGTGCCGTTCAAAAGGCGAAACGTCCGATCAAAATTCACCGCGCGCGCGCGATCGAGGGGTCGCGCTCGTCCGATCGCCGGCGCCCGGCGAGTCCGAGCCCCCGGCGGAGAAGCGCGCGTCCACGACGCGCGCGACTGACGAGCGCGGCGAGACCGGATCGCGCGCGGCGCGAAGTGAACGGACGAAAGCCGCGGTGCGACGCTGCGATTTTTTTTGTTTCGCGCAGGCGCGCGCGTCTCTCTCTCTCTCTCTTCTTCTTCTCCATACAAGAGAATAAGAGTACTTCAGACGGCTTCGCCGCTGTCTTACGCTAAGTACGAAAGTACCTTCGTACGCGCTACGTCTAGGGTGGTCTACCTCCTCGGGTCGTCAGAAGTCTCTCCGCGCCGCGTCTCTGCCCGTCTTCTTCCCGCCCTCGCGTTTGATGACGTCGTTCATGCGTTTCAAACACGTCTTGTCCATCTTCCCCTGCCCCATGAAGTGTCTCCACTCCCTCCACATGACGTGCAAGTACGCGACGTCCGCGGCGGCGTACGCGCTGAGGGGTCGAGGGTAATTGTCCATACGAAGCGACGTCGGGGTGGCGTCGAAAGGCGTCAGGGGTGGAGTTGAAAGGCGTCGAGGCGCGTCGGGATCGAAACCAGCGAGGGATGGGCGGAGAGAGACGAATTCGAAAGTCCGTCCTTAAGAAACGACGCGCGCCGCGCGAACGCGGTCGTACGGGGACCAGTGTGAACGAGATGTAGGACGCGCCGGAGCGCTTCGTCCAACGGCCGCCGCTCCCACGCTTCGTACCCGCCTCCCCACTCCGGCGCGAAGATCTCCTTCCCGCGGCGTTTCACGCGGTCCAACGCCTCGCGCGCGTCGGCGTCCAGCCCCGGACAGTCCGCGAGCGCCTTCCCGAGACCGAGGAGGAACGGGCGGGGTTGAAATGCGTCAGTTGAAGTTGAAAGGCGTCGCGGGAGGTGCGTCGGGATTGAAACCGAGGCGTGGGCGGAGAGATGCGCCGGGAAGTAAAGTCCTTAAGAAACGGCGTTCACCGCGCGAACGCGGTCGTATGGGGACCAGTGTGAGGAGAACGCGCCTTCCCGAGGCCGAGGAGGAACGGGTGTCGCCGCCCGCCGCCGCGTTCGGCGTCCCCCTTGAGACAATACGCGACTTCGAGAGGATAGATAGATGGGAGGTTGAGGGAGGGAAGAAGACGCGCGTCAGGTATATCGGGGATTGGGGATTGGGGATTGGGGATGAAATCACATCACCACGCGACATGCCGTGAGGTCGACAGAGCGCGAAAGAAGAGAAGAGAAGGAAGTCCTCAAGATACGACGCGCGACGCGCGAACGGGGTCGCACGGGGATCGCAGTCCAGTCTCGCCTTGCACGTCGTACACGTTTCGGAGCTTCACGGAGTGCTGATGATAGAGCGCGTCCGAGTCGCCGCGGCAGTCGAAGACGAGCTTCAGCACGCGCGTCGACTCGAGAAGCTCTCGCAGGCGCCCCTCTTCGAACGCGCGCGCGCCCATGACGGAGACGTCGACGAGG